TTTTTTTTTTTTTTAAAATAAATGCCTGCATGTATGTGAGTGCACCCATGTCATGCAATGCCACAGAGGTCAGAAGAGGGCTTTGGATTCCCCTGGAACTGGAGTTAAGGACAGTGTGTAGCTGCCATGTGGGTGCTGGGAATTGAACCCGGGTCCTCTGCAAGAGCAGTCAGTGCTCTTAACTGCTGAGCCATCTCTCCAGCCCCTACTCACTGTTGACCCCTTTTTCTAGTTGGTGTTGTCATTGCTGATCAACTGCTGAATAGACTAGTGTTCCACTACTCTATGTGTGATCAGGAATGCTCATTGACTTGTGTTTTGTTTCTTAGCATGTAGTAATTGTACAAAAGAATAGTTTCATTGTAACATTTTCGTGTGTGTGTGTGTGTGTGTGTGTGTGTGTGTGATGTACTTTGATCTTGTCCATCTCTTCTTGTCCCCTCTCCTTCCTTGTCCCAAACAGTCCCTCTTGGGCTTTCATCAGACCTTGTTCTTGTTTAATGTGTCCTCACTGTTTAGCTCACTCACTATGATTTTTAGTCATGTTTTCTGAGAAATGGCTCCAAGACAGAAGCAACTAAGAGATTCATTATCAGAAATGCCTGTGAGGAAATGAACACAGGAGGGAGAAGAAACTGGAAGAGCTGTCAGATCCCAGTGCATGTCTGACCTTGTGAAAGAAAGGGGGAGCTTTCTTTGACAAGCCTGAGTAGAAACATCCCACATGATAGCATGGTTCAAAGTCATCTGCCATCTCCCAGGAAAGAGCTTGCAAGCATCCCTGACTTGTTCAGCCACTGTCTGGGAGCTCAGCTCACTGAAGTGAATATTAGAATGGATTCCATTCTAATATTTAGCAACTGGGCAGTGGGTCAGTGCGGTCACCACCAGTGGCGGCCACTCCTCTGTTCTCGTGGGCGCCGCTCCTTCATTCTCACAGGCGTCGAGGCTGCTCCTCCGCTCGCCCTGGGCTGAGGCAGCTCTTCTGCTTGCCCTGTACTGCTTCCTGTTGCCGCTTCTGCCTGGTCCCAGACCCCAGGGCTGGTGAGGAGACTGTGTCAGCAGAGCCACATTCAGACACAGGAGACCAGGTTCAGTGACACAGGTCTGCTTTATTGCAGAAAGGCACAAGCTTATATAGGGGTAGTGGTCCAATCACAGCACAGCAAGTAGGATACCTTATTAGCATAACGTGTTTAGCGTTCTATCACAGTACAGCAAGTAGGATACCTTATTAGCATAACAGACTTAGCATCCTATTAGCATAACAGACTTAATGTCCTATCACAGAATAGCGGGTAGGATGCCTCATTAGCATAATGGGTTTCAGATTACAGAGCCTGGATTCCTGGAAACATGTGACCCTGACTGTTGCAATATCTATGTGTTGCAATTTTGGATTCCAAGGGTGGTGATTAGGGAGTGGCGAGCTCTAGGCATCAGTCTCATGATCTGCCAATGGGAGAAAATGTCACAAGGTGTTCCTCATGGCTCCAGCAGTCTGGCCATTGCCTTGAGCCTACTGTATGGCCGTCAATAAGACTTTCACCCTAGGCTCAAGCCTGTCTCCCAGAGGTCAGACCTTCCCTGGTTTCTGATTGAATAGGATGGACATGGGATCTGCTAAGTAATATTTCTAACACATTCTCAGGACAACACTGCTGGTTCTAGGATTGAATTTTGAGAACTGTTTTCCTGGACCTGTTGTGATTTCTTTCCTCAATATGCAGAGGAACTACTCTCCATGGAGTCCTTTTCCCTTTTGTCAAGAATCATAAAAGTCCAGCCTCTAAGTCCTAGAATACACATAAGAACTTAGGACTGGTGAGATGGTTCACTGTGTAAAGGTACTTGCTGCCAGTCCTAATGGCCTGAGTTCTATCCCCAGGATCTGTGAGAGAACCGACTCCTACAGGTTGTCCTCTGACCTACACACAAATAAATTAATAAATTAATAAATAAATATTTTTAAAGAACTAGTGTTGGACACACTGCTTTCTGTCTGCTTCTGAACAACTTAAAATACTGACAGAGCAACAGAGATCTTTTTGTTTTTCTTCTCCTTTGGTGGTATTGGGGATAAAGCCCAGGACTTTGCACATGCTACCCAGTATTCTACCACCAAGTGCATGTGTACTACCAAGGAGATGCATCCCAGCCAAAATGCCACCTTTTTAAAGGTTATAAGTTCCCATTGCTTCTTCCAGTTTAATATCCATGTACTGAAAGCTATTTCCCCACTCATGTATGTTTGTGGTGCCATGTGTATGCATGTATGTAGAGGCCTGAGGCTGACACGGGGAGTCTTCCTTGTCACTGTCCACATTATTCACTGAACCTAGAGTTTACTGATATGTGGGTCTGACCGGCCGGCTTGCACTGGAGAGCCCGTCTCCACCATCTGAGCAGTGGAATTACAAGCAGGCCCTGTACCCACAGGCCATTTACATGGATTCTGGGGTTCTGAACTCTGGTCCTTCCATTTGGCTCAACAAGCTGTTTATCTTTTTGAGTCATCTTTCCAGCCCTCAAAAGCTACTTTTTTCTTAAAGCATGAAGTTTTATCATCTACTAACATTTTTACCGTAATTATAGTTAAAATCATCATTAGTAAATTGTTATCATGAGTCATCCCAAGAAATTTAAGGTTCTATCATAATTGAAGTCTCGATTCATTAGATATTTGTATTTGGAGTCTAATACCAAGATGATCTTACAGTGGCTCCAAGTTTTCTTTGGCATTTAGTGTTATCTAAAAGCCATGAGCTGCAATATTGAACTTAAGCTTCTGAAGTACATCTTTAAAGGATTTTTAAGGGCTGGAGAGATGGCTCATTGATTTAGAGCACTGGCTGCTGTTGCAGAGGACCCAGGTTCAGTTCCCAGCACCACATGGCTAATAACCATCTGTAACTCCAGTTCTAGGGGATCTGATGCCCTCTTCAGGCCTCAGGCATTGTGTGACACAGGTGCAGGCAACACACTCATACACATAAAATAATTTTTTTAATATTTTTTAAGAAAACAAAAAAGAACTTTTAAGATGTAGTGATTATGAACTGTTTGACATTTATATCTTAATGTTACAGGGATCAAATGTCTTTGCTTCTTTGGTCAAAAATTGGAAGTTTCCTGGCTGTTGGAACTATTAAAGGAAATTTGCTAATTTATAATCATCAGACATCACGAAAGATTCCTGTCCTTGGTAGGTTCTAGCTGAAAACACTTCTAAATATTGAAATACTTTATCTGAAAGTCAGTTGCATTGATTTGGATTTCCCTGAGATTGCAAAAGAAAATATGTAGATACAGGCTTCTCTGGTCCAGTCTTACATAGCTAGCTAGGAAGATCGCTCTTCTGCTTGCTAAGAATTTTCCAAGGTACACAGGATAAACTGACATCTTTGGACATCAAGACATTAACGGCACCCCTTTTCTTTCTCCTTTTCACACCCAGATTGAGCCTCCAGATATGGAGTAATAGTTCATACGCATATCAGCACTTATTGATCATATATTGTCATTTAAATTTTTTTAGTTAATTTAGTTGTACTATAATATATCCTATTTTCAGTACTACGAACCTAAATATTTGGTTACCGCTTAGGTGGGGTGTTCCTAATCCTGACTCCACATTCTCTCCAGACACCAGTTGAATATGGACATTGCACTGAGTAGCTTGCTTCAGAGTGTATAGCCCATTGACCTTGCATGAGGTGCATTGGTTCCCCAGCCTGCAGTCACTTGACCTCTGCCTTCTGAATGCCCTAGAAGATTGGTTCTTGTCATTGTATACATTTTCATTGTATAGGCATTTTGTTTCCTACTTTATCTATAAGTATGTCCTGCCAGCTCATTGATAAGCCCCAGAAATTTCAACACTAGAGGTATAAGACAGTAATTTCTCAGATTATTCTTATATCTTTGTCGTGTGTACATGATTTTATATGTGATCTTTGTATTTAATATGAATATGATTCTGCTCGCATTCTTATTTAATAACTGTATAAAATGGGCCTGAAAAGATTAAAGTTAATTACCCATCTTAGGGACTTTAGCTAACTATATAGTTGCCTCTGTCAGTTGGTTGGGGTTCATGGTGCTACTGTTTTCTTCTTAACTTTCTGAAGATCAAGTCACCCCACTCATGGCTGCATGGTCTGGCAGCAAATTTGTAATAACTGAATATACATTTGCTGCTGTACTGATGTGTTCCCATGAACTCAACTAGATGCAAGCATTTCTTGCTTTGCATGTTTCTGGTATGCATGAATTCCAGTTATAAAAGTTGGATTAAATAATGCCTGTGGGAGACTAGGAAGTAACATAGCTCCCATGTCATTTGGCATAGTGCTATAAGTAAGTCCTGCCATACATGCTGTTTTTACTAATGTTTGAGTTAACCTGAACTTTGAGCAATGTTAGGATATATAGGGAAAAGGAGGAACATTTCTTCCTTCCTTCAGTAAGATAAGGAGTTTATTGGCTGGTGAGATGGCTCAGTGGGTAAACATGTTTACCACCAAGACTAACAACCAGAGTTCAGTCCCCAGCATCTACATGGAGAGAACGGACTTCTTCCGCTGACCTTCTCTCTCTCTCTCTCTCTCTCTCTCTCTCTCTCTCTCTCTCTCTCTCTCTCTCTCTCTCTCTCTCTCTCTCTCGTTCTCTCTCTCACACATGTAAATAAATAAATGTGATTTTTTTAACTTTGTAATTTTTTTTTATTTCAGTGTTTTGTGTTTCATTTGGTTGGTTGGTTGGCTTTTGTTTTTTTCCAACACTAGGGATCAAAGTATTTTTTAAAAAGAAAAAAAAAGGAAGTTTGTCTTCAGCGTCTTTCTGCCTCTCTGTACACAATCCTTCTCCTCCTGGTTTTGCTGCACCACCTGAGTCCTTTAATCTGTAGCAACATAATCACTGTATCCATAGTCTCTTCTCGAAATACTCCCTTCACTTTGTGCTCTGCTCTCCTGATTTGAAATACCTATACCCTGAGAACTTATGAATCTGTATCCCTTCCAAACTGTCTACTAGACTCACACTTCCAGGTTCTTACTCAACACTCCAAATTTAATGTCTCCCAATCCTCTTGACCCACAGTCTCCCTTGTGTCATTGATAGAATTCCATCCTGTCAGCATGTGAGATCATCCTTGATTCTCAGACTCCAAGGCTTATTTGTCAGAATGTGTGGTAGACATTACCTCCACATTGTGGTCTGTCTTGTCACCTCACTGACTACTGTCATGGTATGAGCCTAAGTTTTCTGCCTGAATATCTGCAGTTTCCTTAACAACTTGTCTCCTAAGATAGTGTAAGTTTGTGATAAACAAAATTTGTGGAGGAGAATATGTTTCTCTGCAAGGACCTGTGCTTATTATCTATATTAAAAGTTGTTAAAAACCCTTATATGTCATTATCTTGATTTACAACTTGGTAATAAACTACTTCAAATAAAGTTGCATAGACACCAAGTGCTTTGATGAGAGTGTGGGTTCCTTGTCTATTGAATCCCATGCTGTGGAAAATTAGCATCACAAATTTTATTTATTTTTTGAGAAATCCATGTGCCTGAAAAATCGTCTCTTTTTCAGGAAAACATACCAAGAAAATTACATGTGGATGTTGGAGTGCAGAAAATCTTCTTGCTTTAGGTGGTGAAGATAAGATGATTACAGTCAGTAATCAGGAAGGTGACACGATAAGACAGGTAATCAGTAACGACCCTGTGGTCTGACATAGTCAGTTTTTCCCCATAATAAACAACTTTATAGCAAACGAATGTGTTTTTAAAGTCCTAATGTGGAAGATGTGTACAATTTCTTATTTTAAATGTCAAAACCCTTTCTCTATGCACATGCATCCATACCCAGATGCACCTCCACACACGTGAACACACACACACACGTATGTACCCCCCCACACACACACACCAAAAAAAAACAAAAACGCAACTTTATTATTGGGACATTTTTCTTTAAGATGAATAAATTATTAAAGGAAATATATTTCCCTTTATCTGTTATTAGCATGGATTATCAGCTCTGTTGTTAGACTGTTTATGAATGAAGTTTTATTTTATACATGGATACTTATAACGTACATGCTAATAACTGGAGGATCCTGGACTCAGAATCAGGCTTGCCTGATTTTAAAGCCAATACCTATAGCTGAAATATTAAATCACGTCCATGGTAATCTTGACTAAACTTAATTTTAAGATTAAAATTTCCCAAGATTGAGTCAATCTTACGAAGGTCCCTCTTTAAGGGAATTTGTTTTGTCAATAACTACCTAATCCCAACAATGGGAAAATTTCTCTTTGGGCTACTATTTTTACTTATAGTGTCTCTAGAGCAACATTGATTGAAACATTCTTGGAGTATCTGCTTAGGCACATGGTACTATGCTCTGTGCTATAGGCACAATAGGAAATGTGACTGACTATATTTGTCAATGCTTGCTGCATAACAAGTTATCTCAAAATGTAGGAGCTTAAAACAACATCTGTCTGTCTCACAGTTGTTGCTGACAAGGGGTCCACATGCATTTCCACAGGCATCTCAGGGTTTCTCACAGGCTATAATCATGTAGTTAAACCAGACTGATACCTTATCTGAGGGCCTGACCAAGGAAAATGTGTTCCAAGCTCACTCATATAGTTGTTGACAGAGTTTAGTTCCTTACAAGTTGTTAGACTCAAGACTTCAGTTCCTTTTGCTGTTCACTGGAAGTCCTGATTTTCCTGTCACATGAATCTCTCCTGTGGTATATGCTATGGTTTGAATGTGATTTTTCCCCAAGGGTTTGCGTTTTGGAAGGTTGGTCCCATGTATGTATAATGCTGGGAGGTAGTAGAACCATCTAAGAGGTGGAGCCTATTAGGGGGTGAAAGAGTCATGGGGAACAAGAAAGGAATGATGGAGTGCTCAGGACTCTGATGAGTTCTTATATAAGAAGGTTGTTATCAAAGCTCAAGAATGCCCCCACACCTGCACTCCAGCTTCCCGTCTCACTTGTCTCTCCTACTCACGTTCCTGCCCTGATGCCAGAGGCTGCTAAGAATAATTTACTCTTCATGACTATTAGTCATGCTAAGAGACACATAGCCTTTCATGAATACTTACCACACTTTGTACAGTTAACAAGCCCTATAGCCTTAGGAGATGGAAAAGCTCAGTAAGAATGTGGACTGTGAATATTTAAAAGACAGAAAGCAACCTAAGTTAGAGTGTAGGCAAAAAGGTTATATAAGGGTTGGGGTGTATGTTCAGTGGTAGAGCACTTGCCTGGCATGTGAGGCTCAGAATTCAATCTTTACCACCACTAAATAAGTAAATAAATTATAACAATTATACGTCCCCAAATTACAAGGACTATATGACAGGGCAGTTTGTGGGGCAGTTTTTTTCCCTCTCTCACATAAAAGCAGGGAAATGGGCAGATTACAGAGTCCCAGCTTCCTTCCATCTTTCCTCTCTGCTGTGTTTTAAGATACTGTGTTCTCATCTGCCAGGTGAAAGCTAATGCTCCGGGATCATATGTGCATTTCAGCCCTGGGAAGAGTAAAAGAGAAGTAGAGCACAAGAAATTTGTAAAGGACCTGATCTGAAAGATGCTTTGTCTATTTCCATTTCTGTCCTATCATAGGGCTAGAGCTTAGTCAATGTGGCCACATCTAGCTACTCACGGGGAGCTTAGAGTTTAGTCCACCTAGCTGGCCATGTGCCCTGCTAAGATTTGAGTGAATAATACAAAACATTTCCCAATGTCTGTCATTGAATGCAAGCAGAACAGCCTGAACAGAGACAAGAGGAAGGTGTATTCCAGCTTGTCCAAGCCTAACTGAAGGTATTCAATGTAAGAATTTATAGAAAGCAAGGCAGAAGAAGAAAGGTGATTCTGTGTGTGGAACACTTTGAAAAAGGCATAAGTAAAAGCCTCTACTGTTTCAGCAGAACTCCTAGGATGGCTAGCTCAGTCTTTTTTTAGAGCTTTCAAAAAAAAACTTTATTTTATCTATTATTGCTCTGTGTGTGGGTGGTGGTGGTGGTGGTGGTGGTGGTGTGTGTGTGTGTGTGTGTGTGTGTCTGTGCTCACATGCATGCCATAGCAGGTCAGAGAACAACTCTGTGGCATTGGTTCTCTACTTTCACCTTTATATGAGTTTGGGGGATTAAACTCAGGTCGTCAGGCTCACACAACAAGCACTGTATCCTCTGAGCCATCTTACTGCTCCAGGATAGTGCAGATCTTAAGATTCATCTGGAATTACAAAAGTTTGCTCTGACATGGTTTCTAGAAACCTTAGTATTTTGATCATTCTCCTTGTATGTCCCTTAGAATAGAAAGGTGGATACACTGTGTTCATGCTGTGACACCCCCCCCCAATCTGTGCTCATAGGGGACATTCCCAGTAGATACTTGTAATGTTTTTGTCCCCTGTGTCAAGAAATGACTTTAGAATTGTTTTCCACAGAGCAACACAGGAATTGGTTACATCTTGCTACATACAAGATAATTGTTTCCTCTTTCTAACTCTTACAAGTCTCCTTCCAAAATTAGATCTGCTTCTCAAGGTGTGGCGGTTGTCAGCCTCACCTCATTTGCTGTCTCTTTTGTGGTCCTGCAAGTCCCTCTAGTGCTACATGTATTGCTTTACTTTTATTTACCCCACTCAGTATTTATCTTGCTTCCTGAGTCTGAGGACTGGTTTGCTTGTCTGGTTTGATTTTGTTTCATTTTACAGTTCTGGGGATTGAACCTGGGGCCCTATCCTAGGCAAGAGCCCATTGTTTTTGCTTTTTGACACAGGGTTTCACTGTGTAGCTCAGGCCGGCCCAGAACTCATGTAGCCCACCTGGCCATCTTCCTGCTTCTATCTCCTGGAAGTTTTTTTATTTTGATATGTCCATTTTTTTTTCCCCTTAGAAAATACTTGACAATTCTTTTAAAAAAGCTGCTTGACACTGTAAGATCAAGGCTAACCTGGTCTGCATAGATAATTCCAGGCCAGCTGGGACCATAGGGAGACTTGTGATGGCTAATCCTGGGTGTCAACTTGACTGGATCTGAGATTAACGAAGGAGAGAAATCTTCTTGATTGGATCATCTGAAGCTGGAAGACACACCCTAAATGTGGGTGTTACCTTCTGATGGCAGGCCATGTAAAAGGCCAAGGCAGAGGAGAATGCCTGGCTTCTTGCTGCTTGCCTTCTCTCTTGCTGATGAGTTCATCTTGCTGCTATAGATTGAAGACTACCTGATCTTTTGGAATTCATCAGACCTTCAGTGCCAGATTGGGACTACTGAGACATCCAGCCTCATGGACTGAGCAGATTCTCAACCTCTC